AATGATTTCCAGGCGGTAGGTAGTGGGAGTGGCCTGCGGAGCTGAGCATTGCAATGCACTATGGGGATTGTTGTCTACAATCCACAAGCACTAAAAAGTCATTTTCTGCCTTTTATCGGCCAAGAAGGACCCAAATTAGAAATGTATGCTACTATTCTACTACATATATGACCCACTTTCAATACATATTCATGTCTCAACCGGTGGAATTACCCTTTAAACAGAAAAAAGAATAAAAAAACACCATTATTAACCAGGTAATGGTCATTTCAAGTAATCGTTTCTGGTTTTTCCCCAGTTTTTGTTTTCATTCTTTGAACTGGTTCAGAGCCCTCATATTTACATAATAATAATAATTATTATTATTATATACCTGTTTGCCGTGTAGAGAAGATGAATAGTGTGTTGCTTTTTTTCCCTTAGAAAAAACAAAAATGGGCCTGGGTGAGGCTGACAGCTCCACAGGTATGTGTGTGCGCATATATTTTAGATATTTATTTGAGAAAAAGGATACATGTTGATTTTATTTTTTATCTTCCACAGTAATTCAGTGTAAAGTGGTCATTTTCATGTTACACAGGACCAGAGACTAGTTTTCCCTGTGTGCTTATCTGCTGATATTTCACATGGTCCGAAACTGTTTGGATTGTAGGGCTGGAATACATTTTAATTGTTGCTTTTTACCCCTCAGGAAAAAGCCAAATGAATCAGGATGAAACTGAGAACTCCAGAGGTATTTAAACATTTGGGTATATTAAAGTTATTCCATGTATATACATATAGGTGTATAGGTATACATATGTGTATGTATATGTTTGTTTGTTTGTTTGTTTGTTTGTTTTACAGGGACCAAATTGAGGAGAATTGCGAAAAGGCCATGGAGCCCAAATGAAGTGAATGCTGTCATGAAACATTTCAGAGTCCATATTTCAAAGGGACACCTTGCAACAAAGGCAGAGTGTGAGCAGTGCAAGACTGCAGAGGACCCTGTTCTGAGAGAAAGAACGGCCCAAAATATAAGGGATTTCGTGAGGAACCGAGGTTTGATGTTGAAAAAGAAATCTTCTTAGAGTTCTTCGAGAGATCAGTGTCGCCTTCCATTAAAGGTTGTATCAGCGATTTCAGGCCCAAAAAAGGCCCAAATATAAATGATCACATTCATCTAATTTTCCGCTAGCTGCCCGCTCCATAAGCATGCCGTCCAAAAACCGTGTCTCTGTAGGCAGCCTAGGCTCTGAGATCTGCACACAAAAGGTGGGGGTGTTGTGGTTTGAGATTTTGCGGTGATTGGTTGGAACACTGTTTATTTTGGTTTTGAGTGGTTGGTGAAACCCATTGTTTTTGTGTGCAGATCTCAGAGCCTAGGCTGCCTACAGAGAAGCGTTTTTTGGACGGCATACTTATGGGGCGGCCAGCTAGCGGATCGTTAGGAAAGATTAGATGAATGTGATCATTTATGTTTGGGCCTGAAATCGCTGATACAACCTTTAATGTCTGTGGGTTTTGTTCTCTAAAGTGTTGTTGGGCCAGAAGAGTGTTCAAGACATCCTTTTATTTACTTTTATTAAAACACTGTTTTGAAAGAAATGTACAAATACATGCATTTACTGGAAGGCAATTTAATTTGGTTTTATTTCCAGTGTGTTGCTGAGGTCATTTTGAGGCACACTCCCTCATGCACTTTAGTCCCATAATGGTTAGAGATGCACCGATTACAATTTTCTAGGCCGATTCCGAGTTTGACCTGCCGATACCGATTTTAGCCGATTCCGATTTCATTTTTTTCTAACCACTTTACAGCACACACAAATATTTATTTTCTATTTTTTTTTTTTTATAAAACACCATATACTTCTACCCAAACTGAATAATAAAAACAAGTTTAAATGGGTGAATTTTCTATAAATATGTTTGAGTCTTCTTCATTTTCTTTTCTGACATAGCCTACTCCAGTTCTTGTTAAAACACACTAGACATGCAAATTGTGCATTTTGGCCACTTTTTGTGTGAAATCATATTTATTTTGCCCATCAAAAAAAGTGTGCTTTCACTTTAATTGAGTGTGAGCAGCGCAGCAAAAATAGACTCTGTGCCGAAACCGCTTCACTGCTGCTCACGCGACGCTCCTGCTTGACGCTCTGCTCCCGCTCCCAGTGTGATGCATTCACTGATTAACATGCACGCTGAAAAAAATACACGCCTCTCACGCTTGCGGTGTGAAACGGCCGTAATTCACGAGGTTTTCTACATGTGCGTTCCGTGTGCACGTGTGATGCTGATGTTAATCATGCAGCGCCCGAGTGCGTTTGACCGGTATAAAATCGGCATATGTCAGACTGACCGGCCGATCGCCGGTCATGGCCGATCACGTGAAAATCGTCCAATTCCGGTCCCAAGCCGATCAATCGGTGCATCTCTAATAATGGCCTTATTAGATCTCAGTTGTTGAGCCTTTTTTTACCATTTGCAAAATAAAAATTGCCCTTTCAGTTTAATTTTGTTAGTTTTTATTGGCTGTCTAGTTGCATTTCTTCATCTAATTGCCCTTTAACTAGTCTTCTATGAAGTGTAAAACTTGCTGATCTTTGATCACTGAATTTTCTCCAACCAGGTTCATTTTGCACCACATGTGTATATGTTGGTTGATATAGCAACAGCACATTGTAGCACTATTTCCTTAGGTGTGCGTATTACTTTTACAGGTTTAGTGGCAGCAAAAAGATGCACAATCATTTGTGAATTCACTCTTTAATGTAGAATAGTTGATTTGGTTTAGTATGGTTAACTCTAATACAGGTACTCCTGCTATGTGTGGAGTTAATAGTGATGTCCATTTAAACCCAGTTTGTCCTCATAATCAAGGGTTAGTCAGGTGTTTGTGTGTGTTTGAGAGGTCCAGTTAAACCCAAAATGTCCTCATAATCAAGGGTTAGTCAGGTGTTTGTGTGTGTTTGTGAGGTCCAGTTAAACCCAAAATGTCCTCATAATCAAGGGTTAGTTAGGTGTTTGTGTGTGTTTGAGAGTGTGTGTGAGTGAGGTCCAGTTAAACCCAAAATGTCCTCATAATCAAGGGTTAGTTAGGTGTTTGAGAGTGTGTGTGTGAGTGAGGTCCAGTTAAACCCAAAATGTCCTCATAATCAAGGGTTAGTTAGGTGTTTGTGTGTGTTTGAGAGTGTGTGTGAGTGAGGTCCAGTTAAACCCAAAATGTCCTCATAATCAAGGGTTAGTCAGGTGTTTGTGTGTGTTTGTGAGGTCCAGTTAAACCCAAAATGTCCTCATAATCAAGGGTTAGTTAGGTGTTTGTGTGTGTTTGTGAGGTCCAGTTAAACCCAAAATGTCCTCATAATCAAGGGTTAGTTAGGTGTTTGTGTGTGTTTGTGAGGTCCAGTTAAACCCAAAATGTCCTCATAATCAAGGGTTAGTTAGGTGTTTGTGTGTGTTTGTGAGGTCCAGTTAAACCCAAAATGTCCTCATAATCAAGGGTTAGTTAGGTGTTTGTGTGTGTTTGTGAGGTCCAGTTAAACCCAAAATGTCCTCATAATCAAGGGTTAGTCAGGTGTTTGTGTGTGTTTGTGAGGTCCAGTTAAACCCAAAATGTCCTCATAATCAAGGGTTAGTTAGGTGTTTGTGTGTGTTTGAGTGTGTGTGTGAGTGAGGTCCAGTTAAACCCAAAATGTCCTCATAATCAAGGGTTAGTTAGGTGTTTGAGAGTGTGTGTGAGGTGAGGTCCAGTTAAACCCAAAATGTCCTCATAATCAAGGGTTAGTTAGGTGTTTGAGAGTGTGTGTGAGGTGAGGTCCAGTTAAACCCAAAATGTCCTCATAATCAAGGGTTAGTTAGGTGTTTGAGAGTGTGTGTGAGGTGAGGTCCAGTTAAACCCAAAATGTCCTCATAATCAAGGGTTAGTCAGGTGTTTGTGTGTGTATGCATGATTCATATGGTTACTGATGTCCAGTTAAACCCAAATGGTCAGCAATGTTCATTTAGATACTAATAGCAAGTCTTGAACAATCTTCTCTTTTGACATTAACAAAACCCAAACCCAATCAACTGGAAATATTTAGCTTTATTCAAAACTATCTTTAGACAAAACTTCTTAAAATCTAATTAATAAATTAAGACTGACATTCAAGGTTCAATTATGAAAAATACTTGTGGGTGAATGCATTTGTCAGTGATGGTTAAATAGTAAACTCTCCTTTTGGTTTTTTAATTTCTTAATTTTTAAAGCTAAAATATTTCCGTATTTCACTTTCCCTCTTCTCTCTTTGCTCTTCACTCACTTCACACCTGCTAAATCTCACATTACAAACTCAGGTTAGTTTTCTGAAATCTCTCTTAAAGTTTAAGCCAGGTTGAACAATTGCTGATAATTTCTTGTTTTGTTTTTCTATATGCTGGTATTGAAACAAACTTAAGTGATGCGGCACTCTCATGGGTAAAGTTAGTCCAGGTTATACCAGGTTAGTCCTCATAATTAAGGGTTAGGTGTGTGTGTGTATGTGTGAGATGTCCAGATAAACCGGGGTTGTCCTCATAATTAAGGGTCAGGTGTGTGTGTGTGTGTATGTATGTGAGTGATGTCCAGATAAACCAGGGTAGTCCTCATAAATCATAATTAAATCAGGAAACGCCCACTCCTGCCCTGTCCTTACAGTGCTTTAGTTTGTCAGGTCTTCATATTACCAGACTGTTTCATTAGAATTAAATTCTGAGCAGTCAGATTTTTACCCCATGCCTTAAGGAGCAGTTTAATATTTCTTATTAATCTCTATGACAAAGGGAAAGGTGGGTCCCCATAAACCAGGATGGAACTTTTTAGGGGGAAAAGTCTTTATAAACCACCCGTACCAGTATGTGTGTGTGTGTGTGTGTGTGTGTGTCTGAGTGGACCAGGTGAGTTCAGACGGGAGAGTGTGTGTGTGTGTGTGTGTGTGTGTGTGTGTGTGTGTGTGTGTTCTTGATCCTCACACACATCTCTCTCTCTCTCTCTCTCTCAGAGTTAAAGGTGGAGGTCAGTCGGCCGCTGAGGGTCAGTCCCACACTGGCTAAAATCGAGCAGGCCAAAGTCTTCTGGAAGAAACTCTTTCCTGAGAGTGATGGCGAATCACAGCCCAGAACACCGCCAGGCTCCGCCCACTCCTGCAGTGAAGCCCCGCCCACAGCTGATCTGCTGCTGCGCTCCCTGCAGACGCCGGTTCCCTTCCAGAAGATGGCGCTGCGCACCGTGCAGATGGTGGTGTGTGTGGAGATGGAGTCGCACGCGGCGCGGCCCAGTCTGAGTGTGTGTGTGTCGGCCATGACAGGCGCGCTGGCGCTGAAGAACGCCGGCAAACCCGCAGGTCAGTGCAGTTACTGCTCTTGATTACGCCTTTAATCCAGCGCAGGCTCCGGGCCTGTTACCCACAGTGCACTGTGGCAGATCATCAGAGCGTTTGCTTTAGTTACGCTGACCGGAAATCCAGTTAATCTCTCTGAGCCTATAACAGGGCTGAGCGGAGGAGGCAGTTCCCTTCGTGTGCACTGGTGTGTGTGTGTGTGTGTGTGTGCAGCAGATCGGGTGTCGGAAGAATCCCCCATGATGCATTTGCTTACTATGATCTTCTGATAAAGGGCACTCCAAAAATAATATTCTTACTTAGTATTTTGTCTTGTTTTCCAATACAAATTTCTAAACATTCTTTAATCAAGATTTAAAAAGAAGGTCTCTGTGGTCATTAAAAATCCCAGGATGTCCTCCGGAAGAAGAGTAGGGGTGTAACCCCGGCGTCCTGGCCGAATCAGCCCAGCGGCCGCCTAATCATCCCTATATACACTGATTGGGTTCATCACTCGCTCTCCTCTCCACCAGTGAGCTGGTGTGTGTGTGTGTGTGTGTGAGTGTGTGTGAGAGTATGTGTGTGTTGTGTGTGTTCTGGCGCAGTATGGCTGCCATCGCATCATCAGGTGAAGCTGCACATATTCACTTTTATTATGAATATACATTTGACTAATTATGCCACCCTCTAAAGTATTTAATCAGGTAGAAATTTGAGTAAAAATATTTCTGATCCAGTAAATTTGGAATGACTGGAAAAGTCACGTGAATGAGTTCTCAGTTATTTTCGTGTGTGTGTGTGTTTGATCACATCAGCACTGGTACTAGTGAACAGCAGTGGAAGTGAGAGTGTGTGTGTGTGTGTGTGTGTGTATTCTCTGTGCGCTCCGTCCATCTGCTCAACAGATGCTTCATAGAGTTTCTCCAGATAAAGTGATTGTTGAGAATTTTAATTAAAACCTCAACAATTTGCACTTGTTTACTGGATTGGACATAACTGCAGCATGAGGCATGCGACGGCCTCGAGCCACACGGACTCTCTCTCTCCGCCCAGAGTTTGATGTGCTTTTATTAAACACAGTCGACACAGAGTTTGGCCAAACACTGGTAAACAGCAGACGAGGATGTGAGCGTTTGTGTTGGTGTGGAAATAACAGAGCGCTGTGAGTTTCTGGAGTCCGGCATGCGTGTGTGTGTGTGTTTGCACATACTTAACCTTATTTTGGGGACAAATTTGTGCACAGAAGTGAGCTAAACCTGACAAAAACTACTCTTTTGAGGATCTTCTCCTTTGTAAAAATGTCATAAAAATAAAGTAAATATAGTTTACTTCAGTAAACATGTATGAGTGTGTGTGTGAGCGAGTGTGTGTGGGCGAGTGTGTGTGAGAGTGTACGAGTGCGTATGAAAGTTTGTGAGTGTGTGTGTGTGACTGTGAAAGTGCGTGCAGGAATGCGTACGAGTGTGTGTGTGTGCAAGTGTGTGTGATTTGCAAGTGCGTTTGAGTGTGCGGGTGTGTGCAAGTGTTTGAGTGAGTGTGTGTGTGTGTGTGTGTGTGTGTGAGTGTGTGTTTGTGTGTGTGAGAGAGTGAGTGTGTGTGTGTATGTGTGTGTGTGTGTGTGTACGAGTGCGTTAGTGTGTGTGTGTGACTGTACGAGTCCATGTGAGTGCGAGTGTGTATGCAAGTGTATGAGTGAGTGTGTGTGTGTGTGTGAGTGCGTGTGCAAGTGTGTGTTCACTGTTATTTATGACGTGTCATGCTGCTGCCAGACCGAAACCACACACTCCTAAATCTCTCCTGTCGATCACTGAGCCAGAGATGAGCCACAGAGTGTGTGCCAGATGGAGACGTGTGTCTGTGGACGATCCATCAGAGGAAGTGAATCTTGTGTGTCCGCAACACACTCAGACACCTGGTCACCAACAGCAGATACACACTCAGACACCTGGGCACGAACAGCAGATACACACTCAGACACCTGGTCACCAACAGCAGATACACACTCAGACACCTGGTCACCAACAGCAGATACACACTCAGACACCTGGTCACCAACAGCAGATACACACTCAGACACCTGGTCACCAACAGCAGATACACACTCAGACACCTGGTCACGAACAGCAGATACACACTCAGACACCTGGTCGCGAACAGCAGATACACACTCAGACACCTGGTCACCAACAGCAGATACACACTCAGACACCTGGTCACCAACAGCAGATTCACACTCAGACACCTGGTCACCAACAGCAGATACACACTCAGACACCTGGTCACCAACAGCAGATTCACACTCAGACACCTGGTCACCAACAGCAGATACACACTCAGACACCTGGGCTCGAACAGCAGATACACACTCAGACACCTGGTCACCAACAGCAGATACACACTCAGACACCTGGTCACCAACAGCAGATTCACACTCAGACACCTGGTCACCAACAGCAGATACACACTCAGACACCTGGTCACCAACAGCAGATACACACTCAGACACCTGGGCACGAACAGCAGATACACACTCAGACACCTGGTCACGAACAGCAGATACACACTCAGACACCTGGTCACCAACAGCAGATACACACTCAGACACCTGGTCACCAACAGCAGATACACACTCAGACACCTGGGCACGAACAGCAAATACACACTCAGACACCTGGGCACGAACAGCAGATACACACTCAGACACCTGGTCACCAACAGCAGATACACACTCAGACACCTGGGCACGAACAGCAAATACACACTCAGACACCTGGTCACCAACAGCAGATACACACTCAGACACCTGGTCACGAACAGCAGATTCACACTCAGACACCTGGTCACGAACAGCAGATACACACTCAGACACCTGGTCACCAACAGCAGATACACACTCAGACACCTGGGCACGAACAGCAGATACACACTCAGACACCTGGGCACGAACAGCAGATACACACTCAGACACCTGGGCACGAACAGCAGATACACACTCAGACACCTGGTCACGAACAGCAGATACACACTCAGACACCTGGTCACGAACAGCAGATTCACACTCAGACACCTGGTCACCAACAGCAGATACACACTCAGACACCTGGTCACCAACAGCAGATACACACTCAGACACCTGGTCACCAACAGCAGATACACACTCAGACACCTGGTCACGAACAGCAGATACACACTCAGACACCTGGTCGCGAACAGCAGATACACACTCAGACACCTGGGCACGAACAGCAGATACACACTCAGACACCTGGGCACGAACAGCAAATACACACTCAGACACCTGGTCACGAACAGCAGATACACACTCAGACACCTGGTCACGAACAGCAGATTCACACTCAGACACCTGGGCACGAACAGCAGATACACACTCAGACACCTGGTCACCAACAGCAGATACACACTCAGACACCTGGTCGCGAACAGCAGATACACACTCAGACACCTGGGCACGAACAGCAGATACACACTCAGGCACCTGGGCACGAACAGCAAATACACACTCAGACACCTGGGCACGAACAGCAGATACACACTCAGACACCTGGTCACGAACAGCAGATACACACTCAGACACCTGGGCACGAACAGCAGATACACACTCAGACACCTGGTCACGAACAGCAGATACACACTCAGACACCTGGTCACGAACAGCAGATTCACACTCAGACACCTGGGCACGAACAGCAGATACACACTCAGACACCTGGTCACCAACAGCAGATACACACTCAGACACCTGGTCGCGAACAGCAGATACACACTCAGACACCTGGGCACGAACAGCAGATACACACTCAGACACCTGGGCACGAACAGCAAATACACACTCAGACACCTGGGCACGAACAGCAGATACACACTCAGACACCTGGTCACGAACAGCAGATACACACTCAGACACCTGGTCACGAACAGCAGATACACACTCAGACACCTGGTCGCGAACAGCAGATACACACTCAGACACCTGGTCACGAACAGCAGATACACACTCAGACACCTGGTCACCAACAGCAGATACACACTCAGACACCTGGTCACCAACAGCAGATACACACTCAGACACCTGGGCACGAACAGCAGATACACACTCAGACACCTGGGCGCGAACAGCAGATACACACTCAGACACCTGGTCACCAACAGCAGATTCACACTCAGACACCTGGGCGCGAACAGCAGATACACACTCAGACACCTGGTCACGAACAGCAGATACACACTCAGACACCTGGTCACGAACAGCAGATTCACACTCAGACACCTGGGCACGAACAGCAGATACACACTCAGACACCTGGGCACGAACAGCAGATACACACTCAGACACCTGGGCACGAACAGCAAATACACACTCAGACACCTGGTCACGAACAGCAGATACACACTCAGACACCTGGTCACGAACAGCAGATTCACACTCAGACACCTGGGCACGAACAGCAGATACACACTCAGACACCTGGTCACCCACAGCAGATACACACTCAGACACCTGGTCGCGAACAGCAGATACACACTCAGACACCTGGGCACGAACAGCAGATACACACTCAGACACCTGGGCATGAACAGCAAATACACACTCAGACACCTGGGCACGAACAGCAGATACACACTCAGACACCTGGTCACGAACAGCAGATACACACTCAGACACCTGGTCACGAACAGCAGATACACACTCAGACACCTGGTCGCGAACAGCAGATACACACTCAGACACCTGGTCACCAACAGCAGATACACACTCAGACACCTGGTCACCAACAGCAGATACACACTCAGACACCTGGGCACGAACAGCAGATACACACTCAGACACCTGGGCGCGAACAGCAGATACACACTCAGACACCTGGTCACCAACAGCAGATTCACACTCAGACACCTGGGCGCGAACAGCAGATACACACTCAGACACCTGGTCACGAACAGCAGATACACACTCAGACACCTGGTCACGAACAGCAGATTCACACTCAGACACCTGGGCACGA